AAAAAAGCGGATAAAACAGAATCACGCCCTGGGGCCGGCCTTGAGGCCTGTGCCAGGAGCCCTCTAACTCCAGGCCAGGGCGGGTCTCCAGACCTGCAAGGAGAAACACAAACAAGGAGCAAGCGGAGCCCCGAGCCTGCTCCCTCTCCCCGGTTAGCGGGAGCTGGGATTACTGAAGGAAACAGCCCTCCTTCCATCCTTCAGGAAACTCTGGCCCACGCGAGAACCAATGTGAGACTTGAGGGAAAGAAGCAGAGCAATCTTTAGGGAGGGATCTGGAGAGTTTGTTTGGAAAAAAAAGTTGCAACATCCAAGCAATGATTCCTTGTGGTTCTTAAAATCAGGCAGAAAGCTGCTCGCTGCCCCCTACCCCTAGCACCCTCGACAGCCACCCCCTCCTACTGGTGAGGACAGTAAAGAGGCCCTAGTGTGGCCCTTGGGACCCCCCTGGGTAGGAGGCACGCACTTGGCCCAGCTCCAGTCGGTCCTATGTGCGCCCCTGTCTTAAGCTCTGGGCCGACTCCCACTGCCTCTTGATTCAGAAGGTCGCCTCAGGCCAGCCCTGTTCCCTGCCCCCTACTCACTCCCTCCGCCTCATTCACTCCCCACCAGGGAATAACAGCAGCTGAGGAAGATGGGGGGGGAGGGGGAATTCCCTTAATGCTCCCTCCTCCACCCCAGCAAACACCACGGCACCTCTAAGCACTTGAGCCCACGACCGCCTCGGCAGGCCAGCAAGCAGCACGTGGGTCTTCTCTCATTTTACAGAAAAGAAAACTGAGGCTTAGGGAGGTAAAAGAGTTTGGCCAGGTTCCCAGAGCCAGGACAAGAACTGGGAGAGAGAAGCGCTGAGGGCGAGGGCTCAGGGAGTCCGGTGTGGAGGGAGTCCGGTGTGGAGGACGCCCGGCTCTGCTCCTCACAGCCCCGAGGTCCTGGGCCAGTCAGGACAGCCCGCAGGGCCCAGGCTCCGCGACTGTGAAGTGGCAGGTGTGGTACTTGCTCCCAGCAGTGGTAGGACAACCAGATGAAATGATGCATGTAGAGTATGGAGCAAGACACAGGATGTGCTCTGCACAGGCCAGCTCTAAGGCACGCACAGGCGCTGAAGGGCGCTGGGAGCCCGCTGCAGTCAAGGTGCTACCCAAAACCAGGCGACAGAGGCCTCCCAGCGAGGGCCTGGTTGGACTCCTGGAAAGCAACACCCCTTAATGAAAAAGGGGCGTCGGTATGGTCAGAATGGGAGGGTCAAAGAGGCCCCAGGACTCCCTGCGGCCCTGGCCTGCCCCAGGCTTCCTGAAGGAGGCCTCTCCCTGGCCACAGGCTGATTCACGGGCAGCTGGGCACAGAGGGAAGGTGGATCTCTGGGGCTCTGGTCCCTCCCATGGCCTTTCTTGCAGGACTGTTAAAGCCGGGCCTTGGGGTCACCTGTGTCATCACCCACTCAGGACCAAACCCTTGACTCCTGGGGACATCCATCATGTTATGATGAGAGTCATCCTTCCTCTCCCCGCCCTTCCTCCCTCTCAAACAAGCAATGGCCACATCAGGCCCAGTACTCAATGAGGGTTTGGTGGCAAACAATCCAGAGAAGGCAGGTCCCTGTCTCACGGAACTTGTATTCCAGTGGGAGGGTAGGCAGACCAAATAGAACAAATAAGTTAGATAAACGCCACAAAGCGGTCATTGTCCTTAAGAAAATCAGCCAAGGTGCACTGGTGGAGAACAAAGGGTGGGAGCGAGCCTTAGATCAGATCATCAGGGCAGACTGCTCAGAGGAGGTGACAATGGACCCAGCACTAAAATGATGTCCACGGGCTCAGCCAGGGAAATGCACTCCAGGGAGAGGAAGAGCAAGTGTAAAGGTCGGACCAGAGAGAGCAAAGGGGGTGCTAAGCGAGATGAGAGGGCAGAGAGACGAGCAGAGGCCGAACCATGTGAGGTATCTGGTGTTTATTTGGAAAAAAAATGGGAGCACTGCAAAATGATGTGATCCAATTTACGTTTCTTAGTGGGCACTCTGGCTGCTGTGTGGACAATGGAATGAAGGAGTAAATGATAAAGCAGGGAGACAGCTAAGGGGCTGCTGCAGGAGCCTGGGCAAAAGAGGATGGTGGCCTAGACCATGGTGCTGGAGACAGAGAGAGTTGGACAGGGCTGCAGCGTGTCTTGGGGCAGAGCCCACAGGGCTCACTACAGGACTGCACGTGTGAGTGAGGTCAAGGGGTGAATCATGGATGGCCTCCGGGTTTGTGAGTGGCTGGGTGCATGGTGCTGCCATGCTCTGACATGGGAAGAAGAGTGGGAAGAAAACGTGCCTGGAGGTATGGCGGGGAAGAACAAGAGCTCTGCTTGAAACCCGTTAGATTCAGAGCCGCCTCGCGACCTCCAACTCACTGGAGAGGTCACTGGGCAGCTGGAGACGTTCCTGCTGTCTCACCCCGCCCCCTCCCCATTCCCACAGAGCTCTCTGCTCAGACCCTGCCCCAGTCCTCCACGCCGGGCAGCATCCTGGCTCCCAAACCACCTCATCTTTCGGGCTCTGCTGCCCGCCTGACCCCTGCATTCAAATGAGCTTGCCTCTCATTTACCACCCAGCTCTGATGCATCCCTCCTGATTGGTGATTGAAACATCACCTGATTCAGTATCTGCTATGCCTCTGAGACTGGCTGGAAGACCCCTGTCCCAGCCGCGACCATGGGGCTTCCTGGGGCCAAAGAGCCCCTGCAGCTGGCCTCCCTGCTACTGGCTGCTACCCCGGGCACACCTGCCTCTCCCGCACACTTCAGCTCTCTGGACCTCCTAGGGAAATCCTTCAAGGAGCTACGTCATCTGCCAAAGATGTGTTAGGCCTAAGAAAGGAAGTGAGAAGGCACATGTTTGGAGTCCAGCGGGCCCGGGTCTGAACCGTCCCTACTGCTAGCTCAGGGACTCTCGCAGAGCCCCGTGGCCCCTCTCAGCCGGGTGGTCCTCATCTGTCAAGCAGGGATGATGCTGATGAGATGCTGGTCAACTCACTGTCCTTGTGGGGCCCCGGTGTCCTCAACTGTAAGCGACAGACAGGAGTGTGGAAAAAGCTGCTTCCCACCTCTGAGCTCTTAAAGGAGGGAGGAGTAGATACTGAGGTTACACTGGGGGCTAAAGGGACCATCCAATGCTTCATAGTCTCCAGGTCCATCATTGTAAACTTGTCATCAGGGATGAGCCACTACATGTTTGGATCTCCTTTCCTGGAAACTGTTAGGCAGGCCGGTGGCCAAGGAGATGGATGGAGAGATGAAGCTCATTATCCATATTACGTGTGTGTATGCACGTAACTTAATAATGCTCAAGGAAACTCCATCTCACAAAGCAGTTTCCCTCCACCTTCACATCGGCCACCTCCTTTCTGCTAGCCTCTTAAAGGCTGGAGTATGCCATGCCACCAACACGAGGGCCACTGGGGCCGAGGCCCCTGTGGACCCCACTCACTGCCCCCCTCCCCTGCCAGGACAGGAACCTTTTATGTTCCTATCACTTCCTCCTCAGGAATCTCTGCTAAGGAAAATCCCTAAATATACAAATAGCTTCATAAATAGTATTAACCACGGTGTATATATAATAACCAATGACTAGAATTAACCTCTACCTGGTAAAACTCGATCACATACATCAATCAGACATTATACAGCCACTTAAAAAAAGAGGGGGGTAATAACTAAGTGTGGAAATATGGGGAAAACATCCAGATTAGCATATCAAATAAGGAAAATATAACAATGTTTCTTTAGGACGGTTTAAACCAGTGTTGTCCAATAGAAATATATTGCAAGCCACATACTTACATTTTAATTTTTGAGTAGCCACATTTTAAAAAGTAAAAATTAATCACATTTTATTTAACTTAATATATCCAAAACAGTGCCATCACATATATGAAATAGAAAAAGTTATTAAATATTTTCCTTTCTTTTTTCTGTACCAAATCTTAAGAACTCAGCACATCTTTAAGTGACAACACATCTCGCTGCGGGCTTGCTCCACACCAAGTAGTAACAGCCACAGTGGCTGGTAACTGCCTCACGAGGCTGCATGGGTCTAACCCATTAGAAATTTTTAAAAGACTTAAACAATAGGGGAAAAAAATGACTAGAAAGAAAAATCAAAATCTTAATGACCACAGACTTTCTCTGAGTGGTAGAAATATGAATGTGATTTTTCCTTCCTCTTCCTGTTTTCTAAAGTAGTCTACATACAATGAATTCATATACTTTTAAAACAGTAGCAAGAGTCAATCCTTTTAATTTTAGAAGAAAGGGATAAAAGGCCTGACTGGGCGGACTGCACTTGACACGCACTGACTGATCACGCCCCACGAGAGCGGCCTGGGCCCGACACCAGGCAGAGGGCGCGCGCACCCTGCAAACTGGCCGACCGCTGGTTAGCGGCTGGGTGGGTGGCTTGGCCAGAGGGGTAGGAAGAGGAACAAAGGAGGGGAAAGAGTATGCTACAGCAGTTACAAGAGAAAGTTAAACTCAGACCCTTGCTATTTCCAAATCTTAAAGCTATCACTTACTAGCCGTATGATTTTAAATAAGTAAGTAATTTAACCATTCTGTGCTTTAATTTTTTCAAGTATAAAATAGCAATAGTGTTAGTAATGCCTTCACAGGGTTTTGTGAGAATTAAGTGAGATTATCTCTACAAAGTGTTTAAGTACAGTGTCTGTCGCATGGCCAATGTTTCCAGAAATGTTGGATGCTGTCCTTATGGTGAACCAATAAGCCACCGGCATGGCCAGGCTGTCTGGCTCATAAAACAATGGCACCCAGGACACAAGCCGGAGCCACATTTACCCTATGTCCCTCTTGCTGCTGCCCCACCCCCATCCCTTTCCCGAGAGTAGACAGCGCTGTCCCTCCGTCGTAGTCACAGTGGAGCTGTCCTTGGGTTTGCGTGTGGTCCCTTCGCCTGACCCATCCCATACCCCAGGCCCTGACCCCAGCCCCCATGGCCCGCGTACCTGCACCACCTCTGGCCTCACATTGAAGGTGTACAGCCAGTCACTGAAGCGAGGGTAGCTGTTGAGCTCTGAGGTCCTCTCACCAGGAGCCACGCTCAGCTTGCACTGCCGTTGCTTGCAAATGTACCGGACCAGCTTCACCTGCAAGAAGCCCAGAGAAGAAAAGGCGGTTCACTTGGGGCACATACACGTGGCCACCCTGAGCACACTGTAAGGAAGCTGTGGCAAAACATCAGCCTGCTGGATTCTCCTTTGCTGCCATTCGGACAGTGCTGAAGAGGGGAGGGAAGAGAGGAGAAGGGTCTGGGAGAGCCAGCAGGAAACCTGGAGAGCCGCCCATAACCCTCTACCCCACCCAGGGACAGCTGACACTGCCTCAGCCGCAGGGACCATGATCCTCAGAGAGTAACGGGCAAGGCTGGTCAGAACAGAGAAGGACTTCCTGCTGGAGCGCGGGAGGTTGCACTGGGGGAGAGGGTTAGCATCGACGACACAAAAGATGCGAGGGTTTGAGGATGATCAGTGACCCTCCATTTAGGAGGCACCCAGCCTAGAATCAGACAGCCTGGGTTGGGATCTGGGGGCTCAGGTACCCCCTAGCCCTGTGGCCTTAGACAAGTTACTTAACACCACACCCCTAGAAAAGCCTCAGTTTCTTCCTCCAGAAAATGAGGATAATAATAGAACCTGCCTCTCAGGGAGGCTGAGAAAAAATAACACACTCAGTGTGTGCCTGGCCTCCGCTGCGTGCGGGCCACGCCTACAGGGCTGTGGCAGTATTATTAGCAAGGGTCCGTGACTTGGGTCCAACAACAGGCTTTCAGGGCCCACACCCTGAAATGTATGCAAATTTCAGACATGTGAGTCTGTGCATTTTCCAGGGGAAGAGTGCCCACAGCTTTCCAAAGACTAAAGCTGCAAACAAAGTAAGTTTAAATAATGCCAGCCTGACGGTCTCTTTGACAAATACTGGGCTCCACCTGGGTGGCCCGCACTGCACTGAGGAATGCAGGGGGGCAAGACGTGCAAGGAGGGTGCAGCCCAGGGCTTATTTAAAAGAAGGAGGAAGGACTCCAATAGATGCAAATGAGCACACAATGGAAGAGGCCAGAGTCCTGGCTCAGCAGAGATAACGGGATCCCGGGACCCACCGAGAGCTGCCTCCAATGGCCTCATATTGGCGACTTCCAAGCTTCCCCAGAAGACAAGTACCACTTTCAAAGTCTTGTGCAGAGACCCTGCCATTGGAACCACTTCCCAGTCCTACTAACCCGCCAAGGGTTTTGTGGTTATTAATATGTTCCTCTGTCTGTCATCTGTACATATCTCAGTAGATTTCTCTAAACAGCACACAGTACTAAAACGATAATTAATGATAATCATAATTTAAAAATTTCAAATATCTAGGAAGGCTCCCAATTTCCAAAGAGGAGCTCTTGACCGTTTTTTGCAGCATGGACCACCGCCCCCCCGCCCCCCGCCTCTGCAGCCTGGGGAGGACCGTGTCTCTAAGAGCAATGCTATTAAGTGCATAAAACAAAATGCTTAGGATAATAAAGGAAATCAATTGCGCGTAAATTCATTCATCAAAACATAACTTAAAATTGTGATAGGGCACTGAAGCTTCTTTATTAAAGCAGTAAATCCTGTCTGGCAGTGGGTCTCAGAGTTATTATAACTCTCAAGTTGTGCTTTCTCAGACAGCTCCGCCACGGTAACGTGATAGGAAAACAGCTGTGATTTCTACCAGTGACCGAGTCACACATATTTTGCTAAGACAACTGTGCCTTGCTGCCTTCATCCAAACTGAACAACATACTAAATTTCAAGCAAGGCTAATGAAAATAAAGGTAGAAATTTTCCTCTCCAAATTCATGAACCTTCAAAATTCTCTCCGCACACTTAAGGGTAAAGAACCCTGTGGCTGGAGGGATGGGAGGCGTGAAACAAGACCCATAATGACAGCAAAACCACGGCCCCTACAGTGGCCTTTCTGAAATCTTCCCCAGAAACTTGTTGGGTCCCGAGCTCACAGTCTGCTAGACTCAGGGACACTGGCCCACTCGCGTGGCCCTGAGCTCTGTTAAGTTCTGCTATCTTCAGAGGGTTCGGTGGCAAGTGAGGACAATTGCTAGAGAGGGAACACTGAGTCAGAACAAAAATAACTGCACTGAGTTGTACCGTTTCTATGTTTAGTGAAACCTAGACAGAGGCAAACCCACTGCGTGTTTGCACGACATGCCCTTCGGGTACCCAGGGCAGACATTACTAATCAGATCTTCTGCGGAGGCCCTTCACCTTGGAGCAGCCGTTGTTAATGGAACGTCTCCCGCTAAGGCTGGCAGCTCCCAGGCTGCTACACCAGAAGTGTACTTGCTGGTCTTTTATGCAACCTAAGCCCCTGGGAACATCTTCAGTGCATGAAGCTCACAAACATGAAGACATAGGTGCCTCTTGTGTCCTCAGGGGCTACACAGAGGTACTCAGCCCCTCTTCCAGGCTCCCCTCACTCTGTTCCATCCCTCCCAGTGTGACCAGAGGCCAATTTCAACATCAGGGCCCCCACCTTCCTTTCCAGGATCCTCTCCACTCCACCCCTGGCCACTGTGCTCTGCAGGTGCACACTTACCTGGAAGTATTCCTCAAATATTCAATATTTCCTACACTTCCCTACCCCTAAGCCTCTATCTGAAACTGTCTGCTCTGGCCAGAAGTCTCTACATCCTCCAGCCACAGCGTCCTAGGCCTGGGCAAGACTTCCCGGGCCTGATCGGAGTTCCTGCCTCCTCCTCCGAGCGTGCTGTCTGCGTCTCCATGGCAGCCCTACCACACCTGGCCTCATCCAGTTGAGCTGCTGACATAGTTTCCCCCAACAGGCATGAACTCCCAGGGCAGCAGACACAGAGCAGGCTTTGGGGTTTAACAGAATCTGGCTTCAAATCTAGGTTCTGCCATTTACCAGTTGTGTGACCTTGGGAAAGCTCATTCGTTTTTCTGAGCCTTGGTTCTCTCACCTGTGCACCAGGAATTATAACATCCAGCTCACTCATGGTCCATCGGGGGGATTGAACTACAGTGTGAAAACCCTCCAATGACTAGGTTAGTGCCTCTATTATTATAAATCAGGGCAGGGACTGTATCTACCCCTTTGTGACTGTCCCCACCTACCTATTACTACATGTGGCACATAATGTGCTCAAAAATCCTAAGGAAGGAAGGAGTCAAGGAAACACATTGGCCTTATCCCCACATTAACATGTTTCTCACAGCCAATCCTTCCCTCCACTCCACACCGCTCTCAAACTACAGCTTCAAAGAGCTGACCACGGACAGGGCAATAAATCGAGTAACCGTGCCAAGTCAAAGCCATTCTTTTCCACATTAACTGAAGAGGTCAGGCTGTTGGCACTAGCAGCAGCAGTGAAGGCCATCGTCACGGGTAGGAGAGTTTCCAGGGCCAAGCCCCTGGGAGCCGGTGAATAGCATATTGATTCTACATAAGACTTTCTCCACCAAAGGTCAACGTCGAGATCAGCCCATCAGCGTCGGCAATGAGCCAGCGTTGGGGCTCTCTCTCTCTAGTTCAGGCCTCTCCAGCATGCTCAGCCCTTTTCAGTCACCAGGCCCTCTGCCTGGCTGGTTCTTCCCAGTGACCACTCAGTCTCCATAGCTCAGCTTGGGTATCCATCCGCCCGGGAGGCCCTCCCCAAGCCTTTCAGTCCTGCCCCTTTGCCCCCTGCCCTCTCCTGTATCAGATCACATATTGCAGTTCTAATGTTTTACCAGCCGGCTTCCTTCTCTACACTGTTAAACTCCATGAGGCCAGGTGCCTGGTCTGTGTTCTTGCTCCCCACAAGCTCCCCGGGAACCAACATCGCAGCTGGTTTGCTATTGTAAAACCTTTGTTGAATAAATAAATGAGCACACAATACATTTTTGTAGCCCTGACAGGCACACACATTTACCAAAATGACAATGGAAAACAAATGACAATTGGGCAAGTGATGACTCAGGAGCCTGAGAGTCTCAAAAACCAGGGCAAGTTCCCCAGAAGAGGAGTAAGCAGTTTCTTTGCTGAAGGACTGGGAGGATCCCTGCTAGAGAGCCCAGAGCGGGCCTGTGGGCTGGGCTGTGCAGAACTGGAAGTGATTCCTCACTGCACCCAGTTAACCTGCAGGGTGGCGGCAGGGCGCTGCGACCCATTGGCCGGCGGGTCTGGCGGCCTGCGGGCTGCTCTCCTCCAGAGCTCATAGAGAAGGAAGGTCACCCGCAGACTGGGGTTCTGCTAACGGAGCGAAGCGGCTCTCGGCGCTCGTTCACCAAGGACGGGGGCGCCTGGAGTGCAGCTCACATCTGAGCAAAAGGAGGCTGCGCTCACTTTTTGGAAAGTTGGTCACAGTCACAGAAGCACCAGGGGCTACTTTCCCAGAGAAACCACAGCAGGGCCTGCCAGCCCAGCCCAGCCCAGCCCAGGGGCCTGTGAGAGGACCTTTCATGGGTATAGTCATTTTTTGTTAACCACAAAACCGCAAGATATAAATTTTCCGGAATAGAAAAGCACCTGGGGTTTCAGCAATGGAACCAGCAGCGGGAGAGGAAAGAGTCATTAGCGCTCTGGCCACAGGGGAGGACCCTGGGCTGCAGCTCAGTCAAGTCTTACTCTACCCCAAAATTCTTCTGCTTCATGGGGGTGTGCCCCGCCTCACCCCAACACTCAGCCTGCTTCACAGACAGAACAGAGGGGCACCAAGTCAGCCGGCAAACCAGTGGTGGCACTGCCGACACAGGGCACACAGCAGGTGCTCACTAAGTCCTAAATGTTAACAGCTCTAGGCTCTGGCCCCAGCTCTGACATTTAGATCATGGATTGTGGGAAACCCCCCTGACCTCAGCTTCAATTTTACCACCTATAAAAAGGGTATCATTTTATAAAAGTTGGGGCCAAAGTAGCTAATATAAAATGCTTGGAACAAGAAAAAAAATACATAGAGGTCCCACTACGTTACTGTTGGTTACCCAACCACGTTCAAGAGGAAGCACAGATCTGTGAGGAAAAACTCCGGCTCTCAAGACAGACGAATGCGGCCTCAAAGGTCCTCACCTCCGCACCACCTCAAGCAGGACACTTCACCTTGGCCTCA